ATAAGCACTGTTCAGGTCAAGACATAAAACATCTCCTTTCTGCCTCATTTCTGACCTCAGTCAGTCATTATCACACAGATAAAAAAAGATGTTGTTTTATCACCATAGACTAGTTTTGCCTGTTTTAACTTTATATAAATAGAATGATATAATATACACTTGTGTAAATTCTTATAGTATTATATTGTGAAATTCATCCAGACTGTGAGTAGCAGGAAGTCATTCATTTTCATTGTTATAGTATTCCATTGTATGAATATGCCAGTTTATCTGGTTATTTGGTCCAGTTTTTGGCCACTAGAGATGATGCTAAAATGAGCATTCTGGGGATTTCTTTGGCGGTCCAGTGGTTGAGACTGTGCTTCCACCACACGGGGCACAGGTTTCATCCCTGGTTGGGAAACTAAGATCCCACATGCTTCCGGAACAAAAGTAAAACAAACTTTCCTTACCAGACATCACGATATAGTCACAAAACAGGATAGTAAACAGCAAAGAAAATGAACAAACCACACATATATGCATCAATATGAATCTCAAAAAATGTTAAGATTGAGCCAAAACCTGAAACTCCCAGATATAGAAAATATATGTAAACTTCCAGTTTACACATTTAGAAAACAGATAAGCGAGGCTATATTTCTTAGGGATATATACACATGAGATGAAACGATGAAGAAAAGCACAAGGATTATTAATAAAATCCAGAGTAATAGTTATAAGGGACTGATAATAATTAAATTGGATGGTGAATACACAGGTGTTTTATTATTCAAACTGTCTTCTTACACATTATTCTCTTTGTGTATTTTATAATAAAACAATTTAGAAGGTGGAATGCTCAGAAAATAATGAGTCATGTTAAACCCCTAAAATTTTGCCATGCTTTTTTAGACAACAGTTTAAAAAAACACCCATGACTGAAAGGGAACAAGAGGGATCCCTCAAAAGTAAAGCTGACCAAAGTTTAGAACTCCCAAATTTTAAATAACAGGTACTTTTGAGCATTACATATTAAATTCTCCAAACTGCCTACTGCTTCCAAATTTAAATGTTTATGCAAACGCTAGTGAGCATTTTGACCTCTTTACTTGGTGGGGTTGCTCCCAATCAGCGTTTTAGTTCTCGTGGTACTGTACAGCAATGCTTGCAAGTGCAACTATTTGAAAATTTTATTTCATAAGAATGGAAAATTGAAATGTTAAAGTGACTAATATTGATATGATATATGTGTCTCTTAAAAGTGCAGACTGCTTTATTGGGAGCAAGGAACCCTAAAAATAACTGACATAATTACTTTTACTACTTTGTGATTGACAAAGTTTCAAATACTGAAGGAAATGAGGCCAGATGAAGCCCCCCCCCAAAAAAAGTAGAATAAGAAAATAAAAACACTAAACTAGGGGGGGCCTAAGCTTGGCTACTGTGTGATTTTGTGTTTCGAGCACACTAAGAAACTTAAATCAGATATTCCCTTCTATTTCCATTTATTAGGTTTAAAACTCTAAGCCTTAAATAAATGCACTATATTACATTAAAATAATAGAAAAGGAAAAATAATCTCAGTTGAAACATGTGAATGACCCATTAATTGCCAAGGCATGAGATACAAACATAAATTAGATACATCCTCCATTATAGCTGAATACACATATAAGTTCTAAAGTAAAAGCAACATACTACTTTATCATATAATCCTACCAATGAAATCATACTGGTTTTAGAAAGGGGATGGAATTTTAATCATTGAGGGCATCTGTTTTTTGCTGTTAGGAATACACAATTGTGAGAACAAATGAAACAGACACGCTTATATAAATGCAATTGTAAAATAGCATTTTATTGTTTTTAACATAGTGCTGTAACATTTCATAATATTGCATATTACTCAAATGTTGATTTTTTTAGTTAGTCAAGAACATCTTCCCGCATCCCACTTCCCAATCAGAACTTAAAGACACATTATCCTTCTAGAGCTCTATCATATTGGCTCCTAATATGTTACATTCCATAAAACAGTAATGCTATGAACTGAAATGAGTAAAGGTTAACAGTTACTTTGATTTCACAGTTTCACAATGCAGCCAGTAGACTGCTGAATTTAGAACAGCAACAAAAATCCACTAAGACTTTGTATTGTAATTACTTTTTCCATAATGCTCCTTCCTAAGAGAAGAAAAAATATGAAGGCAAAGGTAATGTTTTGTCCAACAAAAGTCCTTTATCAACAAATCAATCTGTATCTGCAAACAGGTTTTACAGTTACCGAATGATATGCTGTTTCTGTGCCAGCAGATTTTATTACATTTTTTTGTTTTTATTTTTTGCTTTCCTGTTCTAGTGCTATCAGTAAGTGAACAAAATGACACTAAAAATTAAGTTCTAGAAACAGTTTTCAAAATAAAACTGATAGTAAAAACACCCGGGTCATTGAGTCAAGTACTTACAAATATAAAACAAGTAAATTGCATAGATTAGCCAGTAAAAATTCAAATTCAGACAAAAATAAAACACCAAATTTAATTAAACGTAAAGGACTCTTTCAAGTATTTTTTTAATTGCTGCATTAATGTTGCATGCACTGCCCTTTATAACATGTTTTCTTTTCTTTTTTTTTGGCACAGTTTCTCTCAGATTTAAATATAATAAATCTCAGGAAAGCAAGTTGAAAAAAGAAAATTTCCCACAAGGGCCAGTGAAGATTAAGGAAAATACATTTTGGAGCATTTAAAATAGTACATTTGCAAAGAGTAGTCATATTAAGAAAAATTTTAGAAACAAAGTATTTCTAGTATTGGTTCAATAAAGTTATTACCACACCAATAGCTGGTCCCAATTGCCCCTTGCACTCAAATCTAATCAAATCAATTATCCTAGTAACAGATCCAATGAATTAAATATAATTTTTGTATATAAATGCCTAAAATATGGTCAAATTCTATACTTAGAGGTATAATGCTTGCTTTACTGGCAAAAATTTAAAATTAAAGGCCATTCTATTGTTTCCATTATTTTTCCACTACAGGGTCCTCAAAATAAAAGCAGGCACAGCTGGTTAGTTTATGAATTATGCTGCATTATCAAGTTCAATTGATAGAAGGAGTGGAATACCCTGTCACCTGATACTTACACTAGCAGCATCACAGAAAAGCGTTGATCTGATAAATTCACCATCAACTTGGTCATCTTTAATATAACTACCCTGTTCTTTTGAATATAGACATACTGAACTTCATAACTTCTACTACAATAGAAAGGGCACAGATACAATACTCTACTTAATAATATAAAAGAGGTTTCGCAGATGCAGTCAGCATTATGGACACCATTTAAACCTGTAGTCTATAGCCTGTAGGTTTTAAGTGTCTTGCCAAAAGCTTAGTTTCATGATATATAATTTTACAAAGTGTCATACTATTTAAAAGTACCTCTGTATACATTTTCTTCTTGTTAACATGCCTCTGATTTCCAGCAGAAACATTATAAATGATACCATAAATGAAATCTTTCTTTACAGAATAGACTATGAGTCATATCAAAAATGCTTTTAGTTTCTATCTTAAAACAGCAATAAACTAATTTTTAAATAACTATTTTAGATATATAACTGGAAATGTAAATAGCCTGTATATAACTATAAATGAAAAAGACTGAGCTCAACAGTACCATATCTGCTTAGAAAACTACCGAGTATAGTACTGTGGAAAAAAAACAGGTAAGACACATGCATATATATGGATCTATAAATAAATATATATATATATAATTTTCTACTGAAACTTTTTTAAAAGTTTCACAATATGAAGAGGTTTTTGCTGTTAATACATAAACACTTACATTATATTAACCAATCTGATACAAATGTAATCTAATACAATGGTACATTGACAAGCAGCAGTATGACCCTCTGAATATTACCAAAGGGAAAAAAATCCTAATATAGGTTTCAACCAATTAAAGAACCCTTAGTAATTTTCATTAATATCATCCTTTTGTGTCCAAACATTAAGTACATTTAATAAAATTTAATACATAACAAGGTGATTTCTTCAGAACAATTTTGCCATTCAAGTACCTAAGTTCATTATTACACAGAAAGTGAAACTTCTCAATTAGTGCTCTGAAAAATCAGAGAAAGGAATACAGTATTATTTTTGCTATGCAGCACTACTTTAGATTCATGATGGCATCTCTATCATGATGCTCTTTAAAATGAGCAGTGAAAAAATAAAAAAACACTATTTCAAAAATGTTAGCATATTTGGTCAAAATATAAAATATACTAATATAGCATTTATATGTTAAAAACACAAATATTTAAATGTTGTGTAATTATTTTAATGTGTTCAATATGAAGAACAGCTTCTCTCTTCACAATTGCTACATTTTAATTGATTATCAGTACAACATTTTTCCTATGTTTTATAAGTAACTTTTACAGGTTTTGTTAAACCTTTTTTTTTGCAAAGTATAACCTACAGCACAGTGATTTATAATTTCTGGTAACATCTATCTTTACATTCTAATTTAGCCTTTTCCCTATTTCATGCTCCTGAAGCTTTTTTGTTTTGTTTTTGCTTTGAGAGGTAGATTTAGTAGAGAATGGGAATGTCAAACACTGCCAAAATGCAATTATCAACAGCTGTACTGTTAATGTGCAGTATCCAAGAGTGCTAGAAAAATTCAGGACCATTATTGTAATACTTTACCAAAATTCTCCTTCTTAGGCTTAAATTATTAAATAATGTATTTAACTGTTCTCAAATAGATACAAAAAAAGATAAAACAATGAAAGACATATATACAGGCAGACCAACATAACAACAAAACTATAATAAAAGGTTGCATATGAATGGAAACTTTTGTTTTGCTTTCTATAAGTGCATCTTCTTTCTTTTTTTGTTCTACACAAAAACGCATCAACTATTCCTACTGACAATGCAAGAAAGGGGAGATATGTAAAGCTACCCTTCTTAGCCATTAATTTGCCTCCTACCAAGTTACAGTTGGAACCCTTCCATTGGTGCTTCCTGCTGCTGAAATACAAACTGTTGCTGATTTTCATCCACTTGAGGTACAACACTGGGGTCGTCATCTTCTACACCAAAGTAATGTTCAATCAGATCAAAAGCCTTTTGGTAAATTTCCTGATTTTCATGGCTTTGCAGAAATTCAATTTTATCTAGACCTATTATATAAATCATATAAATAAAATCAAAGTTATTACTCAGATTTAAACATATATTTAAATCAAAATAATGAATCAATAGTATCACCAGTCCACTGGCAATGGAACTGTTATTTTTAATCTAATTTTAAAAATTCAAACATAATTTTTAAAGGTTGTATTCCATTTACTGTTATTACAAAATATTGGCTATATTCCCTGTGTTGTACAATACATCCTTGAGCCTATCTTACCCAATAATTTGCACTCCACCCCCACTGGTTGCACTGGTTACCACTAGTTTATATGAGTTTACTTCTCTTTTGTTATATTCACTAGTTTGTAGTATTTTTTAGATTACACATTTAAGTGATTCTGTAGTTTTTATCTGATTTTTGCATATAATGAGAGTCAATGAAAAAGTGAAGTCGCTCAATCGTGTCTGACTCTTTGCGACCCTGTGGACTGTAGCCTACCAGGCGCCTCTGTCCATGAGATTCTCCAGGCAAGAATACTGGAGTGGGTTGCCTGGGATTCTCCAGGCAAGAATACTGGAATGGGTTGCCATTTCCTTCTCCAGGGGATCTTCCCGACCCACGGATTGAACCTGGGTCTCCTGCACTGCAGGCAGATGCTTTAACCTCTGAGCCACCAGGGAAGCCCCATGGTAGTCAATACTTATGCTTTACAGTTCACGAATAAAAATATTGGGCAATAGGGTATGAAGAATAAGCACAGGCTGGGCAGTAGGAAGATCGTAGAATCCACCCTTTTAGTTGTATGATTTTTCCCAAGTAAGTTAGATTCCTCTGTACTTCAGTTTCTGAATTTTAAAATGACAGTTTTAGATCATGTAAACGTCACAAGTTGTTTCCAGAGTAATCATGCTAAATAAAAAGCACAAAAAGGGAAAGCAACAAAACAAAAACAAGTAAAAAACCTAAAATTAATGAGCAAACTAACAGTAAGTTCTCTCACAGAATAAGCCAAAGTGTATCAATAAGGAATAAATGAATACTATTTGTAAATCCAATACAGTTTATAAGTGAAACTGGGAAAACCCATTTGCATAGTGTAAGGAGAATCTACAGTGCTCTATTTTACTGCTTACAAGAAAATAATCCGTATATAAGTCTGGATGATGCTAAAAGTATTTTTCACTTAATTACAGATAAACCTCTTCAATTTGTTGCCGGTTATAAAGAATACATCAAGTAATCATATCTATACACACTCATAGAATAGCTCAAACTCTAGTATAACTTGGGGCCAAAATAATAATTGTAGTCAGGAAATATTCTTAAATCAGTGATTGATATCTTAACCAGTGACATTATGTAATTTGAAATAAAGGCAAAGTGGTCTCCCAGGCTTGGTTGAAGAATAGCAAATAAAAGCTTGCGTGGATATAATAGGACTTAAGACAGAAAGTGATATTTAATGGAAATATACTGAGAGGAAAAAGAACTGACTTAGATTCATGCCTCATCAGGAAATAAATTCCACAGTCTTGGTGACAGTTGTTTGAATTCTGGATCTGATGCCAAACACAAAGGACAAAAAAGCAAAAACAAGTGGGACCACATTAAAAAACTTCTGCACAACAAAGGGAAACATCAGCAATATGAAAAGATAACCTAGGAAATGAGAGAAAGTATTTGCGAATCATATACCTAGTAGGGGATTAATATCCAAAATATATAAAGAACTCATATAACTCAATAGCCAAAAACCAAACTATCTGATTAAAAAATGGGCAGAAGATCTGAATGAACATTTTTTCCAAGGAGATACACAGATGCCCAACAGGTATATGACAAGATGTTCAACATTATTAATCATTAGGGAAATGGAAATCAAAACTACAATAAGATATCACCTTACAACTGTTAGAATGACCACCGTCAAAAAGATGAGACAGGAAGTGTTGGTAAGGATGTGGGAAAAGGAAACCCTTGTGCACTATTGGTGGGAATGTAAAGTGGTGCAATCCCTATGGATAACAATATGGATTATATGGTAGTTCTAGTTTTAACTTTTTACATTTATGTTTTTAAATATGATCCAGCAATTTCACTTCTTGATATTTATTGCAAGAAAATGAAAAAAATAAATATGAACTCAAAGATATTATGAATCCCCATGTTCACTTCAGCATTATTTACAACAGCCCAGACATGGAAGCAATCTTATCTATCAAAGAATGAATTGATAAAAGAAAATGTGGTACACACACAACACATACATGTACAGAGGATTATTATTCAGCTTTTTAAAAAAAGAAGACAACCTTGCCATCTGCAACAACCTGGATGGACCTTGGGGGCATTACACTCAGTGAAACAAGTCACAAATACAGACAAATACCTTATAATCTCACTTATATGCAGAATCTAAACAAACGAAAACAAAGAGCTCAGAGTGAGCGCATTGGTACAGGGTACAGACTGGCTGTTGCCAGAGACAGGAGGTGAGGAGGTGAATTAAACGGGTGAAAGGGGATGTCAAAAGGCACAAATTTCTAGTCTGTATAAGCTTTGGGGAAGTAATATACAGTGATGGGGACTACATTTATTAATACTGTAATATGTAAATGAAAGCTGCCAAGAGTAAATATGAAGAGTTCTCATTACAAGAAAAAAATTTAAACTATGGTGACATGAACTATAATTATTACATTCATTTTCCAGTATATACAAATATTGAATCATCATGTTATATACATGAAACCAATGTGTCACTTGGATCTCAATTAAAAAACTGATAGCAACTATAAATTTTACTGAATGCTCACCATATGCTTCTTCAATGAGGGCACAGTATGGATTAATGCCTATTCCGTTCTGCTTAGATTCTTGTTCTCCAAGCCGTAAAATATTTTCAAGTCCATTTAAAGCCACTTGAACTATTTTAGAGTCCATAACAGTCAATAGATCACAAAGTGGTTTAATGCAGCCCAAGGCTACCAAATACCTTCAGAATAATTAAAAAAAATGTGGGGGAGAAACATTTTAAAAGACTTAAATATTTATAGCAATTCCATGAAAACATTCTTCAATGAAATGTTACATAAACACTTAAGTATTCCTAAATAATCTCAAACATTAAAAATACTTAAATTTTTACTTACATAGGAACCTGAAAATTCTTACTCTCTTATTTTCATAATTTAACATAATTAGCAATTAATGGTATTACAAATATTACAAAAAATACATATAAGCAAATTGGTACTTATAGTTGTTTTTGCATAGCATATGAGTGCAAAGAATAGTGGGCTCAAGGTCTGTTTTTGTTTTAAAGGTTAGTTAGCCCGTGTAACACATGAAGCCATATCAGGGTAGGTAGAAATGAAGACGGAAAAGAGACAACTAAATCAAACTGAAAGACATTTTCCACAGAAACAATCGTAGTTAATGTTCTAAAATATAGGTTGTGTTTCAGAAGCACAGAAGGCTTGTAGGAGCAAAACAGGCCATGTTGTGAATAATCTTAATAAACAGTGATCACAAAAATTATTGTACTCATTTCCTAATGCTTTTTCCTTCTCTAGTTGTTATTAGATCTTTAAAATAGCTAATTTCTTCACCTGGCAAAAAGTCCATATTAAGCATGCTCTAAAGTCCATATTAAACATGCTCTGAAGCCAAACTGCATGGTTTCAAGTCCTAATCCCACTCTTTATTACTTGTGTGATTTTGTGTAACCTCTCTGTGCCTCAGTTTCCACATCAAAAGTGGAAATAATAATAGTACTAAACTAGAATGTTGCTGTGAGAATACTGCAAACATTCAGTAGAAGTTAGTTTTCATACCCACCTCTTTTAAATGTGCATATCTTCACTGGAATACTCACTTGCCATATACTAACCTGTGACTGATCAAATATAATTGCTGAATGAGTAACTATCTCATAGTTATAAAGTTAATGGAAATAAAATACATGAAAGAATCTGATGTACTGCTGATGCTCAATAACTGAAATGACTTAGCATAACAACTAGCAGTCAATAAATATTAGTGATATGAATGCTGAACCTTATCTGAGATCAAGTCATCTTCCCCTATATGTAGAATTAATGAAATGGTGAAAATAGCTAGAAAAATAATAATCTCAGTTTGGACACCTGAGTCATACTAATACATTTTGAGGAACAGCCACAAAGATGAAAATGAATTGAAAAATAAAATACAACTGTTTATAAACTGCTTACAAACTTTAGGCCCCAAAACAGACAAAAATAATATCAGCATCAAAAAAACATACATGTTAGAACAAGTGAAAGATCTTATTTTATTACTGTTTGTATTCATGACACAAATGAAATGGAAACAATACTGATTAAATCAAAGAGGAGGAATGGAAAATAAAAGGCAGAGACAGATGGTATCAACATACGTGAGAAAAGAAAGTAACAGCAGAAATGAAGGCAGTAACAAGACAATGATCTCCCAATAAGTAGATTTCAAAATCCTTCCTAGTGATTTGTAAAGTGGCATAGCAGCATAACTTCTTGTTATATAAATTAAGAATTAAATCAAATATGTATTAGAAAATATTTCCTAAATAAACACTTCAAGAAACCAAAAAAGTCTCAAGTTTCATGAAGTGACCCTCAGAACAAGACAATTCTGTAGAAAATCAGGCTTTTATAGAAGGGCAAAGTAGAACTTTGCTATGGAGGAAAAAAGAGTGGAAGCAGGGAATTTTCTGGCAGTCAAATGGTTAGAATTCTGTGTTTCCACTGCAGGGTGTATGGGTTTGATCCCTGTCCTGGAACTAAGATCCCACAAACCACACAATGCAGGAAAAAAAAAATGCAGCAGAAAAGAGAATACCGATAATAAAAATTATGATGATTACAAATAATAATGATAATAGCTAATCTTAGTAGAGAGCTTAATGTTTAGGCATCATGCTAAAGCACTGTAAGACTGTACGTGTACAAACTACATTTAATCATCAATATACTACCATAATGTACTAATCATTATTCAATCCATTTTAAAAAATGAAGACAATCATGGATTAGAGAGACTAAATGACTTTGGAAGGTCATGCATCTTTTACTGAATAGGATTTGAAAGCAGGCTGACTTCAAAGTCCATACACCTATTATGGTTGTTAGGAAAAGAAACAAAAACAATAAAAAGCCTAGAATCAAACAAATATCCTGAAAAAAATAAATTTTATTAATGAAAGAATAAAAATGAGATAATATACACAGATAAGGCTAAGAAAGAATGAAGGGATGGAGCCAAAGCATAAACAATATCCAGCTGTGGATGTGACTGGTGATAGGAGCAAGGTCTGATGCTGTAAAGAGCAATATTGCATAGGAACCTGGAATGTTAGGTCCATGAATCAAGGCAAATTGGAAGTGGTCAAACAGGAGATGGCAAGAGTGAATGTCAACATTCTAGGAATCAGCGAACTAAAATGGACTGGAATGGGTGAATTTAACTCAGATGACCATTATATCCACTACTGTGGGCAGGAATCCCTTAGAAGAAATGGAGTAGCCATCATAGTCAACAAAAGAGTCCAAAATGCAGTACTTGGATGCAATCTCAAAAACAACAGAATGACCTCTGTTCATTTCCAAGGCAAACTATTCAATATCATGGTAATCCAAGTCTATGTCCCAACCAGTAACACTGAAGAAGGTGAAAGGTTCTATGAAGACCTACAATACCTTCTAGAACTAACAGCCAAAAAAGGTGTCCTTTTCATTATAGGGGACTGGAATGCAAAAGTAGGAAGTCAAGAAACACCTGGAGTAACAGGAAAATTTGGCCTTGGAGAACGGAATGAAGCAGGGCAAAGGCCAGTAGAGTTCTGCCAAGAGAACGCACTGGTCATAGCAAACACCCTCTTCCAACAACACAAGAGAAGACTACACGTGGACATCACCAGATGGCCAACACCGAAATCAGACTGATTATATTCTTTGCAGCCAAAGGTGGAGAAGCTCTATACAGTCAGCAAAAACAAGACTGGGAGCTGACTGTGGCTCAGATCATGAACTCCTTATTGCCAAATTCAGACTGAAATTGAAGAAAGTGGAGAAAACTACTAGACCATTCAGGTATGACTGAAATCAAATCCCTTATGACTAGACAGTGGAAGTGAGAAATAGATTTAAGGGACTAGATCTGATAGACAGAGTGCCTGATGAACTATGGACAGAGGTTCGTGACATTGTACAGGAGCCAGGAATCAAGACCATCCCCAAGAAAAAGAAATGCAAAAAAGCAAAATGGCTGTCTGAGGAGGCCTTACAAATAGCTGTGAAAAGAAGAGAAGTGAAAAGCAAAGGAGAAAAGGAAAGATATTCCCATTTGAATGCAGAGTTCCAAAGAACAGCAAGGAGAGATAAGAAAGCCTTCCTCAGTGATCAATGCAAAGAAATAGAGGAAAACAACAGAATGGGAAAGACTATACATCTCTTCAAGAAAATTAGAGATACCAAGGGAACATTTCATGCAAAGATGAGCTCAATAAAGGACAGAAATGGTAGGGACCAAATAGAAGAAGAAGATATTAAGAAGAGGTGGCAAGAATACACAGAAGAACTGTACAAAAAAGATCTTCATGACCCAGATAATCACAAGGGTGTGATCACTCACCTAGAGCCAGACATTCTAGAATGTGAAGTCAAGTGGGCCTTAGAAAGCATCACTAGGAACAAAGCTAGTGGAGGTGATGGAATTCCAGTTGAGCTATTTCAAATCCTGAAAGATGATGCTGTGAAAGTGCTGCACTCAATATGCCAGCAAATTTGGAAAACTCAGCAGTGGCCACAGGACTGGAAAAGGTCAGTTTTCATTCCAATCCCAAAGAAAGGCAATGCCAAAGAATGCTCAAACTACCGCACAATTGCACTCATCTCACACGCTAGTAAAGTAATTCTCAAAATTCTTCAAGCCTGGCTTCAGCAATATGTGAACTGTGAACTTCCAAATGTCCAAGCTCGTTTTAGAAAAGGCAAAGGAACAAGAGATCAAATTGCCAACATCCACTGGATCATCAAAAAAGCAAGAGAGTTTAAGAAAAACATCTATTTCTGTTTTATTGACTACGCCAAAGCCTTCGACTGTGTGGATCACAATAAACTGTGAAAAATTCTGAAAGAGATGGGCATACCAGACCACATGACCGCCTCTTGAGAAACCTGTATGCAGGTCAGGAAGCAACAGTTAGAACTGGACATGGAACAACAGACTGGTTCCCAATAGGAAAAGGAGTACGTCAAGGCTGCATATTGTCACCCTGCTTATTTAACTTATATGCAGAGTATATTATGAGAAACGCTGGGCTGGAAGAAGCACAAGCTGGAATCAAAATTGCCGGGAGAAATATCAATAACCTCAGATATGCAGATGACACCACCCTTATGGCAGAAAGTGAAAAGGAACTAAAAAGCCTCTTGAGGAAAGTGAAGGAGGAGAGTGAAAAAGTTGTCTTAAAGCTCAACATTCAGAAAACTATAAGATCATGGCATCTGGTCCCATCACTTCATGGGAAATAGATGGGGAAACAGTGGAAACAGTGTCAGACTGTATTTTTGGGGGCTCCAAATCACTGCAGATGGTGACTGCAGCCATGAAATTAAAAGTCGCTTACTCCTTGGAAGGAAAGGCATGCCTAGATAGCATATTAAAAAGCAGAGACATTACTTTGCCAACAAAGGTCCGTCTAGTCAAGGCTATGGTTTTTCCAGTGGTCATGTATGGATGTGAGAGCTGGACTGTGAAGAAAGCTGAGTGCCGAAAAATTGATGCTTTTGAACTGTGGTGTTGGAGAAGACTCTTGAGAGTCCCTTGGACTGCAAGGAGATCGAACCAGTCCATCCTAAAGGACTTCAGTCCTGGGTGTTCGTTAGAAGGACTGATGCTGAAGCTGAAACTCCAATACTTTGGCCACCTGATGCAAAGAGTTGACTCATTGGAAAAGACCCTGAGGCTGGGAGGGATTGGGGGCAGGAGGAGAAGGGGACGACAGAGGATGAGATGTTTGGATGGCATCACTGACTCAATGGACATGAGTTTGGGTAAACGCGTGAGTTGGTGATGGACAGGAAGGCCTGGCATGCTGCGATTCATGGGGTTGCCAAGAGTCGGACACGACTGAGTGACTGAACTGAACCCTGAACTGAAGGCTGACAACCAAATAGGAATGTCTATTTCAATTTTATTTTAAATAAGTGGATATTCAAATTTATTAGCCATTTTATAAAGTTACATGCATGAGATTTTAATGGTCAAAAAAATACTTAGCGTCCATAACAGTACAGTTTTCAAATTAACATATACTTCTTTTTCAGATTTTTTAATCTCTGATTTTTCATAGTTTACTTAGGAGAATATCAATTATACATTGACAAAAAATAAACCATTGTGAATGAATAAAAGATGTAAGAGATGCTATCATTTCACATTAGAAATGCTTATAAAACTAACTTGGAAATAATGTTTTAGTTTTATCAACAAATAAAAGGTATGTATTATTCCAAATTTTGTCCTATTTACATTTAAAAAACAATTAAAAAATTTTTTTTACCTGATCTGTTCTGGAGTGCCTCCTGATGTTGCATTAGTTATAGCCCAAGCTGCTTCTTTCCTGGTGCGAAACTCTGCTTTCTGAAGAATCTCAATTAAAACAGGAAAAATATTTGCATCTATAACAGCCTGAGGAGAAAAAATGATACAGCATAATCAATGCAAATAGTGTCTTATAAATATGAAGTAGAGGAATCTTGAAACTCGTTGGCTTTAAAATGTCACACTTTGTGGGAATGTAAACTAGTACAGCCACTATGGAGAACAGTGTGGAGATTTCTTAAAAAACTGGAAATAGAACTGCCATATGACCCAGCAATCCCACTCCTGGGCATACACACTGAGGAAACTAGATCTGAAAGAGACACGTGCACCCCAATGTTCATCGCAGCACTGTTTATAATTGCCAGGACATGGAAGCAACCTAGATGCCCATCAGCAGACGAATGGATAAGGAAGCTATGGTACATATACACAATGGAATATTATTCAGCCATTAAAAAGAATTCATTTGAATCAGTTCTAATGAGATGGATGCAACTGGAGCCCATTATACAGAGTAAGTCGGAAACATAAAGACCAATACAGTATACTAATGCATATATATGGAATTTAAAAAGATGTTAATGATAATCCAATATGCAAAACAGAAAAAGAGACACAGATGTACAGAACAGACTTTGGGACTCTGTGGGAAAAGATGAGGGTGGGATGTTCTGAGAGAATAGCATTGAAACAAGTATACTATCAAGGGTGAAACAGATCACCAGCCCAGCTTGGATGCATGAGACAAGTGCTCAGGGCTGGTGCACTGGGAAGACCCAGAGGGACGGGATGGGGAGGGAGGCGGGAGAGGGGATCGGGACGGGGAACACATGTAAATCCATGGCTGATTCATGTCAATGTATGGCAAAAACCACTACAATACTGTAAAGTAATTAGCCTCCAACTAATAAAAATAAATGAAAAAAAACATAAAATAATAAAATAAAATAAAATGTCACACTTTTTGGAAACACCTTTAGAAATACTTTATTTCTAAATTTTCAACAAACTTTCACATACTTTCCTTTAAAAACTGGAAAATATATTAGCAGAATATAAATTTTAAAGATGATATAGCACAGGCTGGTGATTGATCAAAATGAAATCAGTATTAAATGACTCAAGGAGCTCGATGGTTCACTAATAAATCATTATTTAAAAGCGTTGAGATGAAGATTATTGCCTAGTGTGTTAATTGCTCAGTCGTATCTGACTCTTTGTAACACTGTGGACAGTAGCCTGTCAGGCTCCTCTATCCGTGGGATTTTCCAGGCAAGAATACTGGAGTAGGTAGCCAATCTTTCCAACCCAGGGATCAAACCTGGGTCTCTTGCAGGCAGATTCCTTACCATCTGACTCACCAGGGAAGCCCGATCATTGCTGATATTGAAACCTAACGAAATTCAACCTCTTAATCACTAACCGTTATGAGTCAGGCACTGTACTAGAATACCTACTACAAGTAAATGTTATTATTTTAGAGGAGGAAAATTCAGTTCTATAAAAAACTTTTCAAGGACCTTTTAAGAATATGTTTTTAGTAACTAAAAAAAAAAAAAATCACTGATAAAATGCCGACTTTTGTCCAAAATGACTCCTGAGATCATCCTGTTTTTTCAGATATGAAAGCTGTTTACCTGAATCTGAGCTCTGTTTCCAGCAGTGATGTTCGAAACAGTCCAGCAGGCTTCTTTTCTGATTGACTCCTTTGAGCTACTCAGTAAGTGTAAAAGACAGGGTAAAGCAGAGCAATTCAAAATTACCTAAAACAACAACAAAATGAAAAGTTTTATTGGAAAAGAACTACACAAAAATATACTATTTAGAAACACAATAATAATTCTGGAATACTGTATTAAGAAAAAAGAAATTTCTCTCAAAGTAAAACTTAGTTACGCACTTGCTGCCTTCTGCTCTCCCAATTTGCCAAAACTTGGTGAAGTGCCCTGTTCTCAATCCACTCATTTGCAAATATGCAGAATACAGAGGTATGTCCTTCAAGTTTACAAATATATTCAGAGTTCAACTGACACAACTATCTGAACAGAGATGTAGTGATTGGTCAGGATCCAATCACTTAAGTTTTGCCAAATAAATTAATGGGGAAAATATATCTATATCTATACCCCAAACAGTTTCAATGTGTCTAATTCCATAACTGGAATTAAGAAACTGTCTATTAAGAAACTGTTAAGAAATGTGTATATTAAGTCTATTTGTTTCATTAAAATTTATACTGTCCTATTTTCCTTTTGTAAGTACAGTTTGCTTCCCCGGTAGCTAGCTGGTAAAGACTGTGCCTGCAATGCAGGAGACCCTGGTTCGACTCCTGGGTCAGAAGACCCCTGGAAAAGGGAAAGGCCGCCCACTCAAGTATTCTTAGGAGCTTCCCTGGTGGCTTAGACAGCAAAGAATCGGCCTATACTGCAGGAGACCTGGGTTCAATCCCTGGGTTGGAAGACCCCCTGGAGGAGAGCATGGCAACCCACTCTAGTGTTCTTGCCTGGAGAATCCCACGGACAGAGGAACCTGGTGGGCTTCAGTCCATGGGGTCGCAAAGAGTCAGACGTGACTGAATGACTGAGCACGGCACGGTTTGCTTTGTCTCTCTACGTTCTGTATTTCATGGCAAGATTAATTATGCTCCATTTTCACAATGACCACAGTGATTTACAGTAAGTTTACCTGGTGAAGGACATATGAAGCCGTGCACCAAAATTCTGCTGAAAACAGTGTATGTGTAGAAGCGCATTTTATTTTAAAGAGCTATTTTAAATTAATAATTATCAATTACTAAAGATCTGTTTAATAACTAAATATCTAAATATGACTTCAAAAGACTAAAACTGAAATAATGTAGATTAGAATGTACAGTTTATGATAGCAATGGATAATTTAATGTTTCCGAGTTTAAGTTTGTATCTCTAAGAAAGAGTACTCCAGATCTGAAATCAGTCTGACATCACCCCTTTTTTTTTTTAAGTCTCACCATCATCCAAGACAGGCAAACACACATGCAGACACACACAGACACACACACACACACAGAGACACACACACACAAACACACATAGAAACCAATCTGGGAGATGTTTCCTTGCTATCCTTCCTTCAACTTTCAAAATCTAGTTTTTCAATCTATTACAAAGACCCTTGCATTTCCAACCCAACTTTTAACCTGCTTATAATCAATCCCCATCTCCTAAGCAGTTTCTTTTCCAGCCAAGTTTAACACCTCTTAATCATAACTCACACATGTGTGCCTCTACCCTATGACCACATAAATGTCTTCTAGTCTACTGAAATTCTTCTCCAGCTTTAATTCTAACTACTTTATGGAATCTACAAAGATTTCTCAGCACACCGATTTAAAAAAAAAAAATTTTATAGTATTTACTGACAAATCAGTTCTCAGCAAACATACTACTTTAGGTAATTTGCTTTATCTCATGATATATTTTCTCCTCGATTGAAATGTAAACCCCTCAAGAGCCAAAGTCCTATCGTGTACTTCTTTACATTGATATAGGTCTAGGGTAGTGCCTTCATACAGCGGTATTTGAGATGGATTACTTATTACTGAGAATATGCTTACTGACATATAACAGATGCCTGCATAATTATGGTAACGCTAACATCTTGATTAACATGTAATCAATTCATGTGAAAATGATAAACTTCTTAAAAGTTCCTTATGTTACCAATTTATCATATTAAAGTCTGAACTCACCTGTGTTTGAATATCATCACCAGTCACAATATTACCAACTGCTCTTAATGCAGGTGATACAACTTTATAATCATTGTGCCTAAAAGTAATAAAAATATGAACTTATATTCTATATTTAAATTTACAGAAATTTGAAAAAATAGTACAGAAAATTCCTCCTTACTCTTTACCCAGAGATCCCATTCAAGTTTCACTAATTATCCCAGTAATATTCCTCTAACAAAGAAATCTAACCCAGAATCATGTGTTGTAACCATGTCTTTCCAGTCTCTTTCAAATCAAAAGAATTCCTTAGTTTTCCCTGTGACAACCAAAAGCTAATTATTTGGTTTTGTTCAATGATTAAAACGAAGTTATATGCTTTTGGCTGAGATATCCGAAATGCTATAGTCTTTTCATTACATGGTATTGGGTGGCATATGGTATCTATTTTGCCCATTATAGTGGCACTGGCCTTCTGTCACTTAAATAAGATGGTGTCCCCCAGATTTCTTCACTACTGTTTTCCCTTTATAATTAATGTTTTGTGAGAAAATACTTTTAGATTATGCAAAATACCATTCCTTAATCCACTTTCACCACTAGCTTTAGCATATTCTGATATTTATTGTCTGAATTAATAATAATCATCAATATTGTTGCCAATGATAACTTTCTAATACTATCACGTACACCATGTACCTTTTTCTTATCTATTGATCTATCTACTTATTTAAGTGTGGACTCATGGATTGCTATTCTATTCAAAAAAGCTATAATATGTTACTACAATTTATTTCAATGTTCAAATCATCCCAGGTTTAAACTGTAGGAGTCCCTTCAAGTGGCCTTCTGTGTCCTTTTGATATTTCTCTCTTCTTTGAGCTCTCAATACTTTCTGGGTTCATCTTGCCTTTTTTTTTTTTTCCAGGCCCAGCCCTGGTATTAGTTATTTCTTCAAGAACCCATGACGCTACTTGATGAGAGTAGTGTTTAAAAACCAAGATTTGTGCACTTGGAGTGTTCATCTTGTTAGTATAGGTTTGTCACTGCTCTCAGGCCCTCTAAGACGGCACATATACACACATACACGTATGTTTACATATATGTTTATTTCTACATCTATCTCTTTATGATGAACGCCATGAATTCACACTGATATCTTTACTTCTGATCTAGTACCATAAGATTATTCTGGCTTTTCTCCCTTCCATACATATATCTCCATTTTCTAAGAATAAGAAGCTGGCTTCCATTATCACAACCTCCCTATGTGTGACCAGTCTTCTGATTCAGCTAGGCTGCTGTCCTGTATTCGTTCCAATTCCTGCTCCAGCCTGCTTATCTGCTCTGCTCTAGTGGGTGCCATCATCAGTGTGGGCCCTGATCTGATCCCTCTGTTGGACTGTGTTCCTCTCCTCCTCAGATGCTGTCTTCAAGCCAGGGCCACAACCTCTTACTGAACCTCTCTTTTGTACCATCTTCCTTGTTTGAGCCTACTTGATGACTTTTTTTTTTTTAACCTGATGACTTTTTGACAAAAGAAAAAAGGAAGAAAAATAACACACTTTTTTTTAAAAAAGAGGATTAGGAAGCTAAAATAATCTTTTTAAAGCAAGTTTTCTTAGAAGTTTTTAATTTCTTTGTATAGAAAATATATTCTTTTTAATGAAAGTAGCAACAATAGCCCAGCAAAGAGAAACATGATCTTTAATTCAAGTGAAATACTATGCATGGACCAAAACACAAATTGATTATTGTAATGAACAATTAACTAGATTATTGGTACTGTGAGAGCAGAACTGTGTTCCATACATTATTAACATGTTGCACAACACTCTAGCAGGTAATAGGCATTCAATAAATACTTGCTGAATTAAGTCCCGTCCATTCATGAAGAGATTAAACTAGTAAAATTCATTAACAAACTGATTAGTTCCAAATAGAGGATATAAAAGCTAAGTTTAAGGGTCAGATTCTCAGTATTTCAGCTATTCTGCAGAGTAGATTTGGTAGCTTTTCAATTCTTCCTAAAGTTAGTAACTCTTGAGATGTTTAGAAGGCCATTACTCTAATTACTAAACTTAAAACACAATCATATACTTATTAACCATAAATTATAGTTACATCAAAAGTTCCACCAATCTTCGACAGACTCCAGAATCAATGACTGCTTGAATTTTATCATTGGATCCATCAGAAAGATAAGAAAGGGCCCAACACACATCTGCTAATACATCTGGGTCACTGCTAAACAGCAATCGTGACAGGACATTTAAGCAAGGTGAAACCTGGAAGGGAAGAAAGAACCGGTATTTTAAATTTTTCTCTATCCAAAACAGTTTCTTTAGGAAAATAACTTCTACTCAGTTTAAAATAAAAATTTTAAATACAAAATTTAAGCTAGAAAAATATCAGAGAAATTAAGACATTTCACTGTTTTAAAATTATGATCATGAAAACTACATATAAACATGAAACTGATTATGATTCCTATTTATTTTATACTGAATAAGTTATTTGGCAAAGTTTGTAAAAATAATTATGTATTAGGGATCTCCTATGTCTGAATCACATACACATACCCCCACAATGATTTGAAAAACAATGAAGTCCTACAGAGTTCTAGTTTTAAGAAAACAAAATAAAACCATTTTTGCCCCACTGTCTTCTCAGAAACTAGGAAAAGAAGAAACAGAAATACAAATTCCATCTTGGAGGAGTCCAGTAGACATTTATAATCCTGACTACAGCTGGTGAGCTACAGAAACTGAACTTTGGGGTACAGTTCATGGAAGAGGCTGAAATGAAACACTGGACTATAAACTAGAAGAGATTAAGTAAAAGTTACATACTGATTGAATTGAAAACTTCCAGCCCTCTTGCAATTCCCAGCTCCTAGATATCCAATGGTATTTATTACCTACTCAACCTAATCTACCAACCTTCCAACAGGTGAGTAGAAAATCTGTCCCTAGAGAAACAAAACAGTTTCAGAAAACATACTGAAACTTGAAGTTTCTCAAAGAAAACATGGTTTTGCTGCCCAATTAGCCTACAGTGAAGCTCATAAGATGATGAGCCTATATACCCATCTTTCAATCAGCTTTTTAGTGCCTGCCTCTTGAGTATTTCCAGAGTGTCAAGGATCACTAGCTGTATGAGAGCCTCTAGTAGGGAAGAAATCAAAACAAACAGACCATAAACAAAATGAAGGAGACATCAGAAAAGAAGAAAAATTCAAAAATTATAAACCCACAGATAAGACAATTGCTGAAATTATAAAAAAACAAAAATTTATATAAAGATGAGCAATCAAAGAACAAAAAATATTATTCTTGCAAATATAAAATATGATTGTGAAAATAAAATTTTAAAAAACTTGCATGATAAAAGAATCTCTCCCATAGAAAATCACAAAAAATTTACTTAACGAAAGTCTAATGAAAGAAAAAGACTCCTAAGAATTTTACACTTAAGAATTTTAACTCTTAAGAATTTTACACCTCAGAGGAAGAAAGATTTTTTTTTAATATAAAAAAGTCAACAAACACATATTATATTAAAAGGTAGTGACAAAAAAGAGTAAAATGTGGAGGTCAGTGGCTAGGGATAGTCATAGATTACATTAAATACAGGAGTTAAGGTAGAGATTGAACAGGTAATTTTTAAGAAAGGACTTAAAGATAAGAAATTATTCAGGTAGATATTAAAGCAGTATTGCAGGTCAGGGGCTTTCAAAGTGTGGTTCTATGGACCCCTGGGGGATTCTTGAAACCTTTAGGGGATCTTTAATGCCCAAACTATTTTCATTGTTATTATGTGTTAGCTTATAGATCGGCCTTTTTCATTTTGTTGACATTTGAACTAAAAGCATAAACACAATGGTGGGTAGAGTAAAATTATCAGCACATTTACACAAATCAAGGCAGTGATACCAAAATGTACCACAGATCGTTGTAGTCTTCACATCCACATACTTATATTAATAGTGGGGAGGGAGAATAATCCCGAAGAAACAGTAAATATTACTAATTTTAGTAAACCTCAACTCCTGAATACATGTCTTTTGAATACTGTGAGATAAAATGGAAAATACATATCAAGCACTTCTGCATATCAAAAAACTATGATGATGATCTCCAGGAAAAATACGCATTTGAGTTACAAGCTGAATTAGCTATTTTATTTCCCCCATGTAATACAATTTTTACTTAAAAGACTGACTCTTAATTGTTATTCAGTCAAATATTTCGCAGACTTTTTTCTTTGGGAAAATAAAACAAGTGAGCCTTTTCATTATGCCTCTTTTGATTTTGTGTATGTGCAAACATTGTCCAGTTAATTAAAAAATAATTACTAAAAAGAGTACAGTCTCTTCAATCTCTAAAAATCTACTATAAGGAAACTTTAAAATTTTCGTAGACAGATTCCTTAATTTGTGTACTTTACAAATACCTTACTAAAGTTTGGAGGAGGATTTTTGCCTCTACATAAATTTGAGAGGGCCCATACGGCATTTCTGGTTGTTGTAAGTCTGTTTGAATTTGTTAGTAACCTGCCAAGAAAAAGAAAAAAGGAACTGTCACTTTATATTCATTTTTCCTTTTCAGCTAGGTTCTACTATCGAAACAGTAAAATTCTTAATATATCTTATAAGGAATGAACCTTACCTGATAAAAGGAAAAGTGAGTTTTAAAGATTCATTATATTTCCAGAAAAAAAGAAAACATTCAAAATAAAGAATGCCATGGGAAATTGACTTAGTTATTTCTAAATATTTTAAAAAGAGTACATTATTAGATTACTTATTTTTAATGAAGAAAATAATACACAATACAAATTCATGAAGTAAGGAATATAGAGTCAAATTGAATGAAGATCAGATATTAAGAAAAAATAGTTTTTTGTCTTGTTTTTAACAGACTGCCTGTCTTAGTATTTCTATCTGCAACCTGCTAGCAAACTGCAAGAAGTACAGAGAACCTAGATTTAGGAAAAAATTCTTATTCTAGAGCAACTTCGGCAAAAATGGTACAGAAGATAACCCTGGAGGCCTATCCTTCCCCAAAACACCAATTTTTGCAAACTCTGTTAGAATTAGTTTAATTAGAACTGTCCAAGATAGTAAATGTTCACAGTAAGGAAGTAAACTTTTAATCAGGAAGGGGTTGAAATGTGGAATTGCTTTCTGACAATATAACTTACCTTTTTGTCCTGTCCCCTCCCTAGCCTGGAAGCAACCTTGAGGACAAAAGCTGGAGTTCCCAGCTTTTGGAGTTCTGTTTCCCAAAGGGTCTATGGAGACTTGTTTCCAAGTCATTACTGTGTTTCTCTGCTTTGACCTGTCTTGGAACTCCCTGAAAGATTGATGAAGGGGGCTTGGCTTTGTTTTGCCTAGCTGGGAGCTCTCTCATTATGATCAATAGCTGATCTGTCATCAAAAATCATGGAGGACAGAGGCAATAATATACTTAAACTGCTGAAAGAAAACTACCAAACAAGAATTCTATATCAGCAATATTACCCTTCAAAAATGAAGGAACAACAAAAGCTGAGAAAATTCCATCATTAGTATATTCACTTTTTAAGAATAAGTAAAATAACTAAAATGTCCTGAAATAAGATAATAACTAATAACTCAGGACTGTATGAAGAAATAACACTAAAAATAACTACACAGGTAAATATGAAAGACAATATTATTTCATTTTTGGTTTATGATTTCTTCTATGATTTAAAAAATATACACATAGAGCATTAATTACAAATTTATGTTAACATGCACACAATGTATAATAATGTAATCTCTAATAATAGTAACTTATTGTAAGACAGAGGTATAAAGGAGCAAAGCTTTTGTATCATACTGAGACTAAAGTGGTATAAATTCGAAGTTATTCTAAGTTTAAGATGTTCATTGTACTCCTTAGATTTTAAAAATACAACCAAAAATATACTAAAAAAAGAAATGAGAAGGGAATAAATACAGTATATTATTTTTAGAAAGTCAATAAATGCAAAAGAAGGCAAGAAGGAAGGAACTGAAGAACAAAAAAGGTTTGAGGCATAAGACACAGAGAAAACAACAAAAGGACAGAAGCACTTCCCGTGAGTGTTTACACCGAATGTAAATGGACCACACTCCTGAATGAGACTTAAAAGGCAGTGACTAGCAGCACACACTAAAGACAATAAAAACAGTAATTCATGAGCCATCTGTAATGCACTCTACAAGACACTCATTTTACATTCAAAGATACAGACAGGTTGAAAGTGAAAGGATGGAAAAAGTATTCCATGAAAATAATAACCCAAAGAGAGCCAGGGTACCTATATTAATATTAGAAAAATAGACTTAAGAGAAAAATTGTTTAAGAGATAAAGAATAACATTACATGCTGATAAGAATGACAATCCATAAATTAAAAAAAAAAGAAAGAATGACAATCCATCATGAAGTTTTAACATTTAGCAACAAAGCAAATTGTACAAAGCAAAACCTGACAGAACTGAAGGGAGAAATAGACAGCTGTACCATCACAAAGGTCTTAATATAGTTTTCAGTAATAGCTAGAAAACTTGAACAGAAGATCAATAAGAAGATAGTGGACTTCATCAACACTATAAATCAACTAATAGTAAGACATCTAACCATATATGGGGACACAATGAGTTGGACATGACCAAGCACAGCACATACAACACTCTTCTCATTAACAGCAGAACATACATTCTTTTCAAGTGTACATGGAATATTCTCCAGGATACATCATATATGAGACCACAAGGTAAATCTGATATATTTTTAAAGAATGAAATCATACAGAGAACAATGGACTGAAGCTAAAAATCACTAAAAGAAGAGAAACTGGAAAATTCACAAATGTATGGAAATTAAGTAACATAATCTTAAACAACCGATAAGTCAGAAAAAAAATCACCAGGAAATGAGGAAATATTTCAGAATAAATGAAAATGAAAACCCAACATGCTAAAACTTACAGAATTCACCGAAAGCTCAGAGAGAAAATTATAACTGAAAACACCTACATTAAACAAGATATCAAATAAATAACATAAACCTTCATCTTAATTAAGAAACTAAAAAATGTGCAGCAAACTAAACCCCAAGCTAGAAGAAAGAAGGCAATAATGAAGAGCAGAGATAAATGAAACAGAAGAGAAAAACACTAGAGAAAATGAACTTCATCAAGAGTTGATTCTGTGAAAGAAAACTCAACAAAATAAACATTTACCCAGACTGACGAAGAATAAAAGACTTAAATCAGGAATGAGAGTTGGGGATATTACTACTTATCTTTCAGAAACACAAGTAATTATAAGAGAATACTATGAACTATAAGCCAACAAATTGGATAGTGCAAACGAAATGAACCATTTCTCAGAAACACATAAACTACCAAACTGATTCAAGAAGAAACAAAAAATCTAAATAGATATATAACAATTAAAGATACTGAATGAGTAATCAAAACCCTCCTAATAAAGAAAAGTCAAACATGAAACGATTTCACTGGTAAATTCTACTAAGCATTATAGAAGAATTAAATCCTTCTCAAACTCTCTGGGAAATAAAAGAGAACATTCCTACCTTATTTTATGATGCCAGCATTACCCTGATACCAAAGCCAAAGACATGACAAGAGTGTTTGTGTGTGTGTGTATGTATGTATTACTAACAGATATAAAAAAATCCTCAACACAATTCTAGGAAACTGAATCCAGGAACGTATTAGAAGAATTATACCCTATGAACTACTGAGATTTATCCCAGGATTTATCCCAGGAATGCAAAGATGGTTCAATGAACAAAGACCAAACAATATATTCACCACATTAACAGCATAAAGGAAAACAAAACATGTGATCATGTCAATTGATGCAGAAAAAGCATTTAACAGATCCCAACACCTCTTCACTCAACAACCTAGCAAAAGGAAGCCATCTCAATATGATAAAGGATATTTATGAAACACCCACAGTTAACATTATTCTCAATGGTGAATGAGTGATAAAAAACATAATGTCACCACTTTTATGCAACATTATGGTGGCTCACTGGGTAAAGAATCTGCCTACAGATTCAACTCACACATGATGGTCAACTCCTTTTCACCAAAGGTATCAAGACCATTCAACGAGGAGAGAACAGTCTGTTCAAGCAACCATGCTGGAACAAGTGGATGTCCACATGTATCTCAAGTCACATTAAGAAAATTACCTCAAGATGGACCAAAAATGCAAATATAAGAGGTAAAACTCTTAGAAGAAAACATAGTGTTTCATGACCTTAAATTTGGCAATAGTTTTTTACATATGACACTGAAAACATAAGTAAAAAGAGAAAAAATACTACTGGACTTCATCAAAATCAGAAATTATGTGAATCAAAGAACTTGTCAAGAGAGTGAAAAGAAAACCCACAGAGCAAAAGATATTCTAAAATCTATCTGATAAGAATCTATCCAGAATATATGAAGAATTTTTACAACTCAACAACAAAATGACAACTGAATTTAAAAATATGCAAAGGACTTAGATAGAGAAGATACACAAATAGCCAACAAATGTATGAAAAGATACTCAATGTCATTAGGAAATGTAAATCAAAGCAAAATTAAATACCACCTCACACCCTTTAATCAGAATAACGGACAACAGAAGATGGTGGAGGAATAGGATGGGGAGACTACTTTCTCCCCCATAAATTCATCAAAAGAGCCTTTGAATGTTGCACAACTTCCACAAAACAACATCTGAATGCTGGCAGAGGACACTAGGCACCCAGAAAGGCAACCCACTCTCTTTGAAAGGAGGTGGGACAAAACAGAAAAGACAAAAAGAGAGAAAGAAGATTTAGGGATGGATATCCGTCCTGGGGAGGGAGTTGTGAAGGAGAAGTTTCCACAGTAGGTCTGTGGGGAGTTTTGGAATCTCAGAGGGCAACATAACCGGGAGGAAAAAAAAAACAAAAAAACAAAAAAACCACAGATCATGTGCCTAACCACCACTGCCAGTGGAGAAGTAGCCCAGGTGCTTGCTGAGGCCAGGCTGCATCATCGGACCCGGCCTGAATGCCCCGAGGGCAATCTGAAGGAGCTAACATGAGATAGCAACCAAAACTGCGATTCTCCACAGAGACCAAAAAAAAAAAACTTTCCAGGGGCTCTAAGGTTTAGCCTGGCATGCTCACAGAACAAAGGATTGAGTGTATACCAAAGGAGAGCCAGACAGCTGCAAATAAGCCCCTCCGCACCCTCCTCCTCCCAGCCTGGAGGCAGAGAAGCAGCAGGAAGGCAAGGGGTGGCCCCAGAGACCAACATTTCGGCATCTTCCACCAAAAAAATCACAAAAATCATAGCAGAAATATATGAAAAAAACACAAAGGAGATACAGCAAAAATCAACAAAACTAAAAGCTGGTTCTTGGAGTAGATAAATAAAATAGACAAACCATTAGCCAGACTCATCAAGAAAAAAAGGGAGAAGAATCAAATCAATAAAATTAGAAATGAAAATGGAGAAATCACAACAG